TTGGCTAGGTCGACATGCGGTTGAGCCAGTCGTTCTTGTATCGGTTCGGCAGACTTGGGTTGACTCCTGATCAGGTTCTCCATCCCAGTACGTCCTTTCAAGAACCACCAAGTAGCAACCCTGAGCCATTGCATCGGCGAGTGACTATTGAGGTTGCCTCCGAGCTGAGCTGTCAGCTGGAAGATGCCTCTCATGTGCGTGATGCGCTCGGCAAAGTCCCGGTATGCGGAATCATTTGCAGATCTCGTATCCGAACGAGCGAGAGGAGCAGCGGGTTTGGCGCTGGTACTGGCACCAGATGCGTTTCGTGACGGCAACTGGCTGGGAGGTCCTGAGATGGCGAGAGGCTGGGGAAGTGAAGAAGGTTGCAGTTGAGGTTGAGCGGACGAGAAATAAGATGTACTCGGGGGAAGTTGGGGTGGAGTTGGGAGATTTGGGCTGTCGTCAAGGGCCCCGAAAAGAGCGTTCTCTTTGATCGACGGAATCCGTTGTACGTTTGTATTGATAAAAGGATCTGACCGTGCAGCAGGCGAGGCGCGTGTCTGTGAAGGGGAAAATGCGACATATTGCGATCTAGACGCGGATGGTGGCGATTGCGCTCCCGGCCGTCCTGGGGAGGGCCCACGGGCTCTCGATCGTTCAGGGTCCTCAGTGTCCAGTCTCATCCGAGGAGATCCCCTGGAATCGGACTGTGGTGTCTCTAGAGGTGTTCTGGCTGCGGCCGGTGTGGCATATGAGGAAGGAGGTGTGCCCACGAGGGACTGCTGTGAGCTCGTCTCGGAGTCCCGTCTTTGACCCGAGGCTGCCCGTTGCGATGCCTCATGCAGTGTTCTGCCCTCTTCCGATCGCATCTTTTGTTTCACCCTCGCAGCGAACGAACTCGGGCCATCGTCCTCCTGCTCAGCCAAATGTCTTTCTGGCATCATGGGCACCGAAGGTATCGCATGCACAGGCGAGGGCAGATCGTCGTCACCCAGGGTACTGAAGCCAGTCTGCGTGCGCTTAAGCGGCTTTGGCTGGAAGTCGTCCTCTTCTTGGATAGTGGGTTCGCGGACTGACATATTCCTCGACATGACAGGTGAGAGATTATCCGAATCCTGTGAATACACAGAGTCCTCGCTGGTGCTGGGTCGCCTTCCGGGAGGGATAGATATAGGCTCTGGTATTCCGTCAAAGCCAGTGGGCGCCCTGGTGAGGCCCTTTGGTCGGTCTCCCAAGCCCATAGACCCCATGTAGCGCGGCGGTGTGGGTGGCAGTTGCGTAGCGTGGGTGTTGATCTGACCCATCTGCATCTTCTGGCCGAGTGGTGGGGACAGCTCGCCGGGGTTCGTCCGCGTTCTCGTGAGGTTTGTTCTGTACTCAGTCTGCGAGGGGGTCCTGCCTATGCCATTGCTGCGCGCTCCCAGATTTGCATCGTCCTGCGGCGTCTGAGATTGCACCTTCTCCGGTTCCGGGATCGTCGCTGCCTTCTTGTTCTTCGCGACTTCCACAACGGGGTCCTCGCACTCGTCACCGCCATGACCTATGACTTCCGGAACTGTGCGCACGAAGCTCACGGTGAAGCCCTTCTTGCGCGTGCCTGTCTTCAGACCGCCGGGCCCTGGGCTCTTTCCGGCAGCAGCAGCGCTGTTCAGGATCGTCTGTGCGCCGGGCCATCGCTGGGCGCTCGCAACGTCTATGCGGGGTCGGAGGAAGGCTGAGGCGGCGGCAGCGGCGTCCTTTTGCTGCTGGGCGGCGCGGTCGGTCGAGGGCTTGAGGAAGTCGTTGATGTCGTGGTCGTCCGAGGGCGGCTTCGTCTTGGGCTGTGTGGCGGCGGCGAGTTCGTTGGTCTTTTCGAAGATCTTGGTCTTCCAGCGGCTCTTGGAGAAGAGCTTACTCCCGGCATCCTGTGCGTCCACCATGGTGCTGCCCGCAGACCAAGACTGGCGCTATCACTGGTGGTGGGAGGGGTCGTGGGTGGTGGAAGAGTACGCCGTGAATGGCGGGTGAGGCGCGTCGGGGTGATCGCGTGCCTGGCGTCGAGGCTGCGTGTGTCGTGTTTGCCGTCCTTGGGGCTCAATTGATTATTGGCGGCGGCGACGGGCTGGCCAAAGTGTTCCGAGAGTCTGTCACTTCTCTAACAGGGTCCGGCCACATGAAACTGCCTGATGCGAAGAACCAATGCCGCCGTCAGGTATATACAGGTGAAAAGAAAGGCAGATGGGAGGAAAGCCACGAAATGCGGACCAAGCCAGGACCCAACAACGTCGTGGAACCGCCGCTGTAGTTGCGGAGTAGTTTATCAGCTAAATTGCCCAGGGTCGAAGCTAATTGCGCGCCGCCCGCTTATCGTTGCAAGCCTGCAGCGGTATCCTAAACTCCTTTTGCCTCTGCTGCCTCGGGCTTTCTCTACACGAGCAAGATTTGCGTAAAGCCGTACAGCGAAATTGCGATTCTGCGTCGCTTGCCGGCTACGGCTATGCTTGGAAACGGCCGTCTGCAGATGTCTCGTGTTCGCAGCGCCAACGTCGACACACCCCACATTCAGCCCACCAGATCCCGTCTGTGCGCCGCGCACTCGGTCCTACATTCACCCAGTTACCACATGCGGTCGTATATAATTCCCTTGGCGGCAGCGCCTGCAGTCTGTGTGCGGCTCAAACATTGACCTTGTTGTATCCGGCGCATCGACAATGACTTCTCCATGTGGTTTCCATTGTCATCTCACCACCAGCACTGCCCGGTCTTCTATGCCCAACGTCTTACTCTATGTACGTAGATCCTGGCCCCAGCTTGTCAAGATCGTCATGACGTGCGTGGCATGTGTTTCACTCTCCTCTTCATGTGCGCACCTCGACAACCCCCTGAGAAACATGGCGACAACAACAACAGATTCCAACTGCTCAACGATACCTCGCTTGCAAGGCTATTGAGAGTCTCCCAAAGGGGAAGACCACAGGATGGGCTATGCCCGAAACAACAATGGAGTTGATAAGGCGCGACAGGGGTAGCGGTTCCTTAGCGTACATCAAGCCTCGGCTGTGCCACCTGGCCGACGTCTAAATATACTCGGAACGGAGGCCTTGACGTTCCGCTTTCACGAACGAACAACACAACACGGCCACAAGAATTTCGAGGCGAAAGGACTGTGCCTTTGGCAGTGCTTCAAGTACTTTCCCATTCAGCGCGTCTCGCGATGCAACACGAACAACCGGTGCTTACTTCAGACGCTAGCGGTCTTGGTCGTCCGCTATTGGCCACATGGCCTTTACCGATATGCAGTGGTGTGCCGACATGGTAGGATTAAGATGAGCGCTCATCTACCAGACTATAAGCCGTTGGTGGCGCAACCCGATGAACCCATAAGCAGTAACCACCAAACATCCCAGCAGGAAACTTGCAAATTCGGTAGACCTGCAGTGAACGGCTCTGCAGTATATATCCGTTGGCTGCTAGGGCACATGATGCACAGAAGAAGGAACTGTCCATCTTCATTTGCATCAGCACATCTCTCTACTTCCATGCTTCCACCGAGCATCATGAGAGCCGGTGTTGGCCGATGGATGAATAAAGTACACATTAGACTTCTGACGAACACCAAACCGCGGTCTTCCAGAGCCGCAAGTGGGGCAGAGCCATGCGCCAATGACGAAGAAAGCCCCATACTATCGTCATCGCATCGGCACTCTGAACCCTCAGCACAGTACCCCGCGAAACTTCATCTTCCCCTCATCTCCATAGCTTCTGCCGTTTATTCCATTGCATCTCAAAATGTTGTCTCAAGCCAGCTCCGAGCCTCTCCAAACGTACGAAATTTCCGATTTCAAGTTCCACAGTGGCACCACACTGCCAAAACTCAAGTTGGCCTACAAGATCCTCAACCCGCATAACAGCAAGATAGCAGTTGTACACACGTGCTTCAAAGGCCGTCTCGACACCACCTTGACACATGCCAACGCCGCTCTGAAGAATCACAAGATCATCCTGATCGCCCTTCTCGGCAATGGCGAATCTTCTAGCCCCTCAAACACGCCCGACTTCCCCAGTACCCTTGAGTACATGGACTGCATCAATGCTCAGTACCAGCTTCTTACCCAAGAGCTCGGTATCAAAGAGGTAGACGTCATGCTAGGATTTTCGATGGGCGGCCAGATCACCTACCATTGGGTAACAACGCACCCTGATTTCATCAAGCACGCCGTAATCGTATGTTCCTCAGCCAAAACTAGCAGACACAACTTCCAGTTCCTCGAGGGACCGAAGGCAGCGCTGGAAAGCGCAAAGAGTCCCGAGAGGGGTATCAGGGCCTTTGGAAAGGCGTATTCAGCGTGGCTGACAAGCGCCGAATGGTTCGACGAAGAATGCTACAAAGAGATGGGCTTCCAGCAACTGCGAGACTGGGATGATGTGGCTACTATTCAGGGTTACGAAGGTTGGACAGGTGACGATCTTCTGGTAATGCTGGGTATGTGGCAGCGCGGAGACATCACTCGGTGCACCAAGGCGGAGGATCTAGAGTCGGCACTCAAAAGCATCAAAGCAAAGGTTTTGCTCATGCCATGCGAGTACGATCAGTACTTCCGTCCTTATGTCAGCGAGAAGGAAGCTAAGAGCCTGGAAAATGCGACGGTGGAGATAGTGCCCAGTATCTGGGGACATATTGCGGGCGGTGGGGCGAACCCGAAGGATGTAGATTGGATGGATCATCGGATCAAGCTTTTCCTACGGGGCTTGGTATGATTTTACAGAGAGCTATCGAATTTGGGCATACTTATTTTCCCATGTTAGATGTCAAAGTCGTGAAAGGCTGGCGACAAGGAATAGCCTACACACGTCAGTAACGTCAAAAGTACCTAGGTAATTTCAAACAAACTTCAAAAGTCGGCTAACAAATGTGCATCTCATATTGACCGAAATTACTACCGCAATCCATTCAGCCCAATTTTCGCATGTGCTCATGTTCTGACAACCCCGAACATGGAGCAACCACATTCGTGTTTCAAGATCCCCGCAAAAACGATATGTCACCGCCAAGCTATTACACCCGCTGCCTCACCTCCACCCAGGCACGCTTCAACGTTCTCGAAGCCGCCCAGCATCTCCGTGCGCAAATCCTCCACAAATCCTCAAAGCACTTCCGTGAAATCTCCAGCCCACCAAAACCCTCTTCAGCATCCACAGCAATGGTGACATCACCCACTTCTTCATCGGCGTCAGATCACAACACCTCCGATGCCGCACCGACAGCGACTCGCGGCAACGGCCGCAAGTCACGCGTTTCAGCAGAGCACACGTTGAACCGCGTGCGCGAGAACCAGAGAAGACACCGCGCTCGACAGCGCGATCATGTCGCTTCTCTCGAGCAAAAGCTCGCCGAGACCGAAAAGTTGCTTGAAGAGGCGCGAGCGGAAATCGCCGCTCTGAAAGCAGGAGGATGTGCAATGGGCTCACACCAACAACCCCAACGACAGAATACCAGCAACAACGATGTAAACGAAGGAGCAAGATGTATAGGAGAAGGAAACGCACCTACATCTCAAGATATACCCAGACCACCCGTTCCCGCTTTACCCGACCAGCAAACCGATTCGCTAGCACTCACATCCATCCAACCAGATCAGCTCATCGACCCGCAACTAGACAGCTACCCTGATGTCCACGGGCATGTCCCAGACATGAGCGACCTTTCCTTCTTGGGCGGATCCTCTTTCTACCTGCCGTCGCCATCGACGTCGTCACAGTCAAACATGTCCTTGGTATCGCCAACTTCAATCTCAACGCCAACATCAACACAAGCCCCGTCCCTCGACACCCACCTCACAGTAACCAACACAACAACCCTCACGATAACCGGTCCCCCACCCTGCTGCAACGACCCTCCAACTCCAAACTCACCACCTCCAACAAACACGCTAGAATGCACATCCTGCTCCACGAAACCGCCCCCGTCCCCCAGTGAAAGCACGACGCTGTGTGCCCAAGCCTTCGTCATGATCGGCCAGCAGAACTTCCGTAACCTCGATCCGGATACGATTAGGCTGTGGTTGGCGCAGGGGTTGCGGAGAGCGCAGAGGGAGGGCGAAGGGTGTAGAGTTGAGAATGGTGCGTTGTTAAGGTTGTTGGATTTTATTAGTGGGTTGTAGGATATGGAAGATAGGAGGAAAGTGGACTTAAGGGGAGTGTAATGTATCTGTTGGTTTCGTTTGGGAAGGGGTATAGGGATGGGCGTACGGTGTTTTACACATTCGCTTTAACGTATCCATGTGAAGACCGCGTTAGGGAAGGTGGAGACTTAACGAAGACATATACCGTGGAGTTTGGCAACAGGCAACTACATTTCTTTACCGCAATACATGTACGCATATTCGTTCATCTCACTTGTCTCATCATGGCAAGTCATACGTGAACAGGAGAAATCGTAGACATTTCATTACCTAAACGCTATGCAGAGAAAAAGAGAAAGTTCCCGTCTAGTCATACAAAATATGTGTGTGGAATGATCGCAAAACCATGCTTGATGATCAATTTTGGCACGAGCATGCATGAGAACCCGGGTGCCATCAGAGGAATTGCTTCTAACGTCCCATCCTGATGACACCAGCGTGCACCAGCTTCTGAATCTTGGAGCGGATGCTGGGGTTCTTGAGATGCTCTTGCAGCGCTGCGGGGTCGTCCTTGGCTTGCTGGAGGATGGCCTGCATGACGGGGTCTTGGAGGATGCCGACGATCTGAGTGTGTGTTAGTAAAGCTCTCATATGAAACATGTATGGGTCGACATACCTCTGGATCCCGCTGGATACGCTCCATGGTCTGTTGTTCGGTCTCGCCCTCGCGTGCCGAGTACTGTGCTTGCAGAGCCTTGGCTTCTTGTTGCTGAATCTCACGTGCATTCTTGCCGTCCTTGTCGTGCTCCATGGCTTCCGCGCATACGTTAACACACTTGTTGTACTCGCGCATGGTGAAGTAGGCTTGAGCTTTCCGCAGGTAGGCTCGGATGAAGTCTGGATCGCGCTTAATCGCCTCGTCGCAGTCTGCTACAGCCGATGGGAACTCTAGCAACTTGATGAAGCAGGCGGCGCGGTTGGAGTATCCTCTTGGGTCGTCTGGTGCGCGCTTGATCATCTCGGAGTATGCCTCGACGGCCTCGGGCCAGTTGGACTCCTTGAACTTAGCGTTGCCGAGCTCACGCGCCTTCTCAGCCTCTTCGGGGTTGATGTATGACTCCTTCTCTTGTTTGGCCTTGGCCTTTTCCGCTGCACGGAGCTTTGCGAGGACTTCGGGTGTGCGGTGTTCGGTTTGTGCCTTTTGGTAGTATTTGACTGCGTTGGCGAGATCGCCCATCTTCTCGTACGCGGTACCGATACGTGCAAAGGCCCTGCGTGTGTTAGCAAATGGCTGGTGTAAGATTGGGAATGACATACTTGGCGATGATCTTGAAGTCGGCCAGGATCTCACGACCGTACTCGACAGCCTCTTCACAAGCCTGGATGCAGCCCTCGTAGTCACCCTTCTCAAACTTGGCAGCTCCAAGGTTGGTCTTGTATGCAATGTCCTTGTGTGTCTCCCATGCCTTGTTGTAGTTTTCGATAGCCTCGTCGAATTGTCGCTTCTTGTAGAACTCGGTGCCCTTCTTCTTCAGCTCGTCCGCCTCGGCCTTTGCCTTCTTCGCAGCCTTGTCTTCCTCAGACTCCTCTACTGGCTCGGGCTCCGGTTCAGGCTCGGGCGCCTTCTTCGGTTGCTCGGGAGCTGGTCGCGCGTCGGGCATCTCGACGTCCTCCTCGGCCTCCTTTGTGCCTGCATCGCCTGCTCCTCCAGCACCTGGCCCTTGACCGAAAGACATGTCGATGCCTAGTAGCACGCTCATGACGGAGAGGAAGCGGGGATCTTGCATGAACTGGCCAGCCATGTTCGGGTTCTTCTGTAGCTGCTGGAGCTTGCCCATGAACTCTGCATCGCCGAGGAGGGAGGCTGTCTTGGGGTTCGCCGCGAGCTTCTGGATCATGTTGGGGTCGTTAAACATGCCACCGAGGCCGACACCGCTGTCGTTCGCCTCAGCTTCGACTGCGCGCTTGACGGCATCGAGGCCTTGTTTTGCCTGAGCATTGCTTGGGTCGAGCTTGAGTGCCTCTTCGAAGGCTTCTGTGGCTGCCACTATTGGGTGTTAGCGACGTCATCTCTCCTAGGAGCGCTATACATACCCAAGTCACCCTCGCCGTGGAGCGCCGTTCCCTTGCGTCCCCAGCCCTTGGCCCAGTCTGGCTTAATCTCGGTAACCTTGTTTGCATCGTCGAGAGCCTTTTGCCAGTCCTTTAGCGAGGCATATGCGCCGGATCGGTTCGAGTAGAGGACGTGATTTTGGGGGTCGAGTTCGATTGCCTGGGAGAACTTCTCGCTGGGATTTGTTAGTAAACCGTCGCTAGGCTGTGTTTGCGGGGACCCTACATGGACTCGGCGAACTTCTTCTCTGCGAAGAGCTTGTTACCCTCTGCTTTTAGTGCGTCGGCCATGGTGGAGGTATTGTGCGTGTGGTTGATTCTGTAATGTGACTGCGAATCTTTTGGTACTACGCGTGCGAGGGACAGGCTCTGAATTATAGTTTGATGGGTAGCTAGAATGTTCGATTGCGGAGCTCTGGCAGGAACGTCCGTGCGGCAGACATCTGGAGGGCGCTCGTCATATACCCCACCACGAGCCTCACCCAACTCACTTTCAGCCTGGTGAGTACCATCTCAGCCCTCTTTCAGCCCTCCAGCCCTCTGCATGCGCAAGTACTTCACAGACCAGATGATGAGATCTAGAGGAATTCGAAAAGAACAATGCATTTTGTCAATCGCAGACCCAACAATTGTCCCACGCGCTTTGTCGTCTAGCATAATTGCTATGTGATCGCACAGATACCCCATACTGACATCCTGAACAAGTCACCCAAATTTCAGACGATCATCTTGGCCCACCAAGATACACTCTGTCCCTTTAATCAACACCTTTCTTCAAACTTGCCAACCAAATTCCTGTCATGAGCCAGGTCGTTCGTCAGGCCCAGTGGGACGCCGAAGTGGCCTCCAGTGGACACTATGACAAGATTATGGTCCAGAATCTCGAGGTCGTCGTCAACGCAGGAAAAGATGTTTGGGGACGCGAGAAGAAGCAGCGGGCCCTGATCAGTGTCACGTTGACACTCGGAAAGCAGTTCACGTCAGCTTCTTCTACTGACTCCGTCGATGACAGCACTGTGCACTACGGCACGCTCAGCAAGGCGATACAAGCGCGCTTTAAAGATGATTCCATGGCATGGATGTCAACCGTCGCTCTATCGAATGCCGTCTCTCAATGCGTCCGCGATGTCGCAGGCTCGACAGACGTATACGCGATCGAAACCGACGTCTGTTACCTGAAAGGCAGTATGTTTGGCGAAGGCGCTGGACACATCACCTCGCGCGTCGAAGGGTCTGGCACCAGCTCGAACGTACTGTACCTGCGCAACGTCCGCATCCCGTGCCTGATTGGCGTCAACTCCAATGAGAGGCTGCAGAAACAGCCCGTGGTCCTCAATGTCTGGGTTGACAACATGGCTGACTCTCGTGTGGAGGGATACCCTCAGCTAGAAACTTTCTTATTCGAGGTATGCACAGCACAATGTATACGTACACACCGACTGACCAGCGTAGTTGATATCTGGCTCTACATTCCAAACGATCGAGAGCCTGCTTGCGTGGTTGGTCGACGAGCTCAGACAAAGATTCTTCACAGAAGAGGCGGACCAGAACGCGTGGATCAAGCTGAGAATTAGCAAGCCCCATGCGGTACCCTTTGCAGATGCGCCAGCCGTCGAGATAACACGACCCGTACGGTCGAGCTAGGGTGGGGTGGTGTCACTAGCAAACTGCCGCAGCGAGTCAAAGCGTCGCCGTGACTGTGGAAACGTCTGCAGGTTTTCTCGGACGCCAGCCACGGGCACAGCTAACGATGTCTGTTCCTGACTTGTGCTAGGGGAGGTACGTTAGCGCAACCGGTACCGATTCAGTCTCCACTTCCATAGCTGTCCCTGTCTTACAGCCTGACGGCGTGAAATCGGGAACCGCCAAGCGTCTAAGCTTGTAGAAGCTTCTGCCATTTCGGTTCCTGGTATCGCGAGTTCCTCCAGGCTGGGCCATTGGTACACCTAAATGGTATTCTTGTTGTTGGGCATAATGCGATCAATGGCCCTTGTCGGAATTCGAGAAATAGTCTAAGTAAATTCCCGCAAAGTTTCAACACGGGCATGTGTAGTGGAGGTGGGCGTTCTTGAGGCTGTTGTCGTAGCATGGGCATCGTTGTTGCGTGAATACACCGACTTAGTAGCAGAAGATCCCCCACGTGGTCCAAGCGATGCAGACGTGTACCTGCGCCACTGCCACTTTCCACTTCTGCAGCCACTATCTTTCATCCCAAGTCACTTCCGCGATATGCAGATGCAAAAGACCCTTGATCACCCGAAACCCCGCTGCATTCGCCTCCGCGTTGCATCGCGCAGTCGCCACTGTGGAAAAAAATGCAACTTTCCCAGCCGGGGAAGTCTGTTGGGGAGCAAGTCGGAAGAGCGGTCTCTGCGCGACGTCAAGCTGACTGCAGCCCCCTGCTAGCGCGGCGGCCAGATGAGGGGCTTTTCAATTTATCGACATAGCTCTCCGAAAAGTTATTCAACAATTGTGCATCGTGAGGTCGAGCAGATAGGCGGCCGCGCAGCCATTCGATAGTCACTGTTGACTCGGGCAGACGCGGGATGGTGCGAAGACTTGGAAGTGTAACTGTTGTGAAGCCACGATACAGTAACGTGGTCAGACCTGAGTGAGAGCTGAGTGAGAAGCTGGGTGGAACAGCTCGAGGGCTGTAATCTGATACCAGAATAGCTGGGGTGAAAACAGCTACTAGCCCAAGCTATTGCACAGGAGGTGTAATGGCTGCACTATGGCTGAAGATGGTGTGAAAGCAAGTATCAAGACTTCGTCGTGGGCAGGCACTATTGGTGGCGTGGCCGTTGCCATGCAGAGATGCTGCGGTCGTAACTGCCCTTCTAGTACTTGAGCGGCAATGACCTGCATGTATAAAAGGCAAATTCACACCGTCTCTTCACCATCCCCATCAAACCCCGAGCCTGTTCTCGTTACCAGGCCATAGCTTGTTCTCGACTTGCCCCACGTTCAACGCCAAGCGCGACCCATTGCCTTTAAGGAGACCAGCTCCCCAACACTTGTTGTTCCCTACACCATTCTCTCCTCACGGAATAACCTCTTTTCTCCTCAAACATACACAATGGCGTCTCGCGCGATTCCTTCTCACTTGAAGCCCTCCGCTGCCGAGGGCGGCGAGGGTGGCTTCTCATCCCAACGCCATCACGGCAAGTCGCAGTCCCACGTGGTAAGTACTCTTTCTCTCTGTTTCTGCAGTTGTCCGGCGTGCGTCTTGCTTTTTCCAGCGCTGCTTGCTTGCATTGGTTTTGTTGCTGCACAGCGGACGCAGCTATCCTCACCGCTTCCCGTTGTCTTGACATGGGTATGGTGGGGACCGAGGAGAGCTGGCATTGAGCGGCCACGATTGCTGGTCGATCGCAATACGCCGTTCGGCCAGACGTCAAGGCGATTTCCTACGAGCGGACGAGGCGATCCATCTGAGTTGGTGTTCGCTGCCACTCTCGAGTATTGGCCCCGCATTCGCATCGCCTACTCCCCGCGGGAGTGATGTCGTGGTGACAACACGTACCGTCTCAACAACTCCAACACCTCGAATTCGATTTCAATCAACTAACAACGACTTTGCAGGCTTTCGAGAACACATCCACCAATGTCGCCGCCTCGCAAATGCGCAACGCGCTCAACAAGCTCGCCGACACCGTCACAGACCCCGCTGAGAAGAAGGTCAGTCGCAATCCTTCTATACCCCTCCATCTTCATCTGCCACCTATACATTTCGATATGCTTGCGTGGGTTAATCTCGCGACTACAAGCTATGAACATGTTTGGAGGGGCATTTGGAGGGTACGTCATTCTGAGCGTTTACTGACCCACTACAGTACTTCGAGACTGAGATGGACAACTTCTTCGCTCTGTTCCGCCGATACCTCAACGACAAGGCCAAGGGCACTGCCATTGACTGGAACCGCATCGCTCCTCCGAAGGCCGAGCAGGTCGTCAGCTACGATGAGCTGGCCAACACCGAGGCTGTCGAATACCTGAACAAGTTGGCGGTTGTCAAGCTCAACGGTGGTCTCGGTACCTCCATGGGTTGCGTTGGCCCCAAGTCCGTCATCGAGGTCCGTGATGGCATGTCCTTCTTGGACCTGTCAGTACGACAGATCGAGTACCTCAACCGCACATACGATGTCAACGTGCCGTTCGTGCTGATGAACTCGTTCAACACCGACACCGACACTGCCAGCATCATCAAGAAGTACGAGGGCCACAACATCGACATCCTCACCTTCAACCAGTCAAGATACCCCCGTATCCTCAAGGACTCGCTCCTGCCCGCTCCCAAGGAGAACAAGTCCGACATCGCCAACTGGTACCCCCCTGGTCACGGTGACGTTTTCGAGTCTCTCTACAACACCGGCATGATTGACAAGCTCATGGACCGTGGTATCGAGTACATCTTCCTTTCCAACGCCGACAATTTGGGTGCCGTTGTCGATCTCCGCATTCTCCAGCACATGGTCGACTCTCAGGCCGAGTACATCATGGAGCTGACAGACAAGACCAAGGCTGATGTCAAGGGTGGAACCATCATTGACTACGAGGGCTCTGTCCGTCTGCTTGAAATCGCCCAGGTTCCCAAGGAGCACGTCAACGAGTTCAAGTCGATCAAGAAGTTCAAGTACTTCAACACCAACAACATCTGGATGAACCTCGCCGCCATCAAGCGCGTTGTTGAGGCCAACGAGCTTGCCATGGAGATTATCCCCAACGGCAAGTCCATCCCTGCCGACAAGAAGGGCGAGGCCGACATCTCGGTTCTCCAGCTCGAGACCGCTGTCGGTGCCGCCATCAAGCACTTCAAGAACGCGCACGGTGTCAACGTTCCCCGAAAACGTTTCTTGCCCGTCAAGACCTGCTCTGACCTGATGCTCGTCAAGTCGGATCTGTACACACTGCAGCACGGCCAGCTGGTGATTGACCCCAACCGATTCGGCCCTGCTCCCTTGATCAAGCTCGGCAGCGACTTCAAGAAGGTTTCCAGCTTCCAGGCCCGCATCCCCTCCATCCCCAAGATTGTCGAGCTTGACCATCTGACCATCACCGGTCCCGTCAACCTTGGCCGTGGTGTCACCCTCAAGGGCACTGTCATCATTGTTGCGACCGAGGGCTCCACCATCGACATTCCCCCGGGTTCCATCCTCGAGAACGTCGTCGTCCAGGGTTCGCTCAGGCTGCTCGAGCACTAGAGTGGTTGTCGACATTTTCTTCACAGTTCTTATAGATTTTTTGAGGATACAGGTCTTCTTTAGCCACTGGTAACGAGGGATGACTGCATTGCAACGTACTTGAGCAAAAGACTCAGGCGGTAATGGGGCGTAATAGTCACGCATGTCCATGATTCACGTATCATCATAGACAAAATGCATCTTGAATACAATCCATAATGATCCATTTGTTGTTGCTTGAGTTCACCACACGCTGTGTTTGAAGCTAGTAAGATGTGGTTAGTAGTAAGCTAATCTCCAGTATGGAGAAGATCCATGTCAACCCAAAGAACTGACCCATCTGCAGCTTATTACTTCCAAGAAATGGTGCCTGATTGCGGCCTCACGCCATCTCAGCCTTGCGGCCCTACCGCGGTGATGTCAGAATGTCACCAGCCACGCAGCCAACCCAACCCGCGAACAACAACCCCCACCAATCTCCCGGTTCCTGCGCAGTGCAGAGGCGCAGTCGGCCAGTCACCTGTATCTTACATAGCGATGATGCCTGCTGATAGCGGCGAACAGCACTTGATATAAGCAGCCGTGGCTTCCTGACGCCGTTTTGTCGCGTTCCACACGCCTGCATCCTCGCGTCGCACGCAGCGGGGTTGATCGCAACCTGACGAGCATCAGCTCCGAGCATCGAGCCGAAGATTTGCATGCCTGAGCCCATTAATAGCGATTGCTCCCACCTATCGACAGAATGTCACCCGAACCTATGCCACATAACGAGTTCCAGGACGAACGCGCCGCGAACCTAGCGCAAGCGGATGCGGCGCATCGCGAAGCATACGATTTCTGGGGTTACCTTTTCAAGGAAGATAAATGCGGGACCCCGTTGCTGGATCGCCTGTTGAAGGGCATCGCCTACGTCATTGTGAGTCGAGTGTAGCTTTTAGATGTCCACTGGGAGACCTCAAGCTAATGCGCCACGGTAGAGCCAGAAGTTCGGATCAAGTGACTCGCCTGATCTTACGCCGTCGCAAATCGCAGCTTGGTATCGCAGTGTTGGGGGCGATTACGACGTACTATTCACAGACACACCACCTTCATCCGTCGCGTTCATATATCGGTCACTCGGCGCATTCCACAGCCTGCAACCAGCACCAGACGACGACGGCTACTCGAGTCCTACCATACCTGCGCTGAAGAAGGACGGCTTTGTGACATGGCAGACAATACAGTTGCTGCTAGGGCCAGAAGAGCATGTGCCTTTCCTACAGAAGGCGGTGGAGCTGGATGACATACCCGATCTGGAAACGGGGGGCACCTTCCCTAAAATTCTACCCAAGGAGTGCTTCCCAGAGAAACCGGATGATGCGATGGAGACGTGGTATCAGAGCGTTGCCGCCAGACTTAAGAAGGAGGCGGAAGAGGAGCTGAATGGGGGCAGTGCGGCTGAAGAGCCAAAACCGCGTACTTCGACGGACAGCGAGGGAAATTCGGCCGATGACAAGTCCGGCGCGTACCGCTACTTCGAAGATCCGCTCTATCGGAATGGAAGACCACGACCGACCTTCATGCGCCATGTCTCGAAGCAATCTCCAAGGACCGCAGAGGACCATGGAAGGCCGGGGGCTATTATCTCAAGGGTGAGACACATGCTGAATCCTCTGAGTACTAGAATCGCTGGAAAGAGGATTATCCCAGACCGCACCGGGTACGGAAGCGACGGGTACTCAGATGAAGATGCCACACCCATTGCGCCTGTTCCTCAACCAGGTCCCCGATATTCCGCCCACAAGCGTCCACACCCACCGCGACGCGAATCCTCGTTATCAACAACAGACTCCGACTCAGATCCAGATCGCCCGTCTCCTCGGCGACAAAATCCTGTACTGCGTACCCATCGATCTCACGAGCCGCCCATATCGCAGCCGGGCTATTTCCCCGCCTACAACGAGGCGCGCCGTTACTCAAACCAACACGATCCAGTCCGAGTGTATGAAGGGACTTCAACAGCAACATCTCCCCAGCACGTATATGTACCAACTCAATCCCCACTCTTCGCGACTCAAGTCGCGCAAGCCCAGCGCGAAGCACAGAAACAGCAACACTACCTCTCAAGACCCGTCATGCCGCCACGCACGAGCTATAGACCCGTCCCGTCCAGCAGCGTGCGATGGGGTCCCCAGACCGTACACCCTGTAAGTCCACCTCGCGATGCCGAACCACCCTATATCCGTGAGCGTGAACGAGAGCGCGATCGCGATAGAGAACGTCACCATCGCGACCGAGACCCTTACTCCATGGGAAGCGGTAGCGGCCGCTCCCACCGCCGGCACTCGGAAGACGTTGAATACCCCCGCGAACGTACCCGCGATTCAGCCCGCACACGCAGTCACGATAGAGTTAAAGACGAATGGGACGATCGCCATGATCGAAGTCGAGATAGAGACCGCGACCGCGACCGCGACCGAGAGAGGGACAGAGACAGAGACCGCGACAAGAGAAACTCCAGCTACGAGGACAGAGACAGAGACGACAGTCGCGAAAGAGATCGAGATCGAGATAGAGACCGGGTGCGAGATCCCCGCGTGCATAGGTATGTGTCTGGGGTGCAGGACGGTGTGTCTGGCCGGAAATATCCTGTCGCTTAAGCTTTTTGTTGTGGGATTTCATTTACTAAGATTTTGGTTGCAGCAGGAGTCAGAGTGTTAGGGGCCAGTTCATGAGGCTGCTTAAAGAATTTTGAGCAGGAACAGTTTTATCAAGTGGGATGGATTGGTGGGTTCTCGAAGGCTTTGTTCGACCCATCGGCTATGCCGTGTGGGTGGTGATGGTGGGGTCTATGGAGTTGGGTGGATTGGTCTGGATGATCTGTGGCGTAGTGGGCCGGGTATGTTCAGTTCAGCTCTTCGCGAGCTTGCACGATGCAACACTGATGATGCACGTGCGATGTGACACGAATGAAGGTAATACATAGACGTGGTATCGAATTCAATACATTGTGTGACACACGGTTTAAGGACCCGTGGCTGCACCTGCACATGATCTGCAGACTGCACGGTTGTTTTTCTGTGCAGGTATTGCAGTAGTCTTCGCTCTGACAAGTTGCGGTAAGAACAGAGACACCTGTTCCGGTTCCTTTGTGCAAGATGGAGGGAAAGTGTTCGGAGATGATGGGGCGGTGTAACAGTTACTTGTGGTGCACGGCCCAGGTACGCGAGGAGACCTCGGAAGGTGGTGGAGGGCATTCACGTGCCAGATGTCCAAATTAGAAACCAACTTTCGGAACTAGCGACGTTGCTTGCTAGGTATAACGTGTTATGGTAGGGATATTGGATATACAAGTAGAAACCTCTAGTGACATCATAATCTTCAATTTACAGGTGTTGTCGTCGTGTAGCCTACAGAGACCTGGCGAGTTTCTTACTTGTATGGGGTGTAACGGTTGCTCAAGATAGTGCGGAGGCGCGCGTTTGGCACCAACTAGCTGTGCGGGATGGACCCTGAGCTACTGATTAGCCAAATCAATGGGAACGCCATGCGAGCCCTGCAGAAGGATAGTGTCACGATAGACGGGAGTGTAGACGGGGTTGTTGCAATCGACGCGTGAATGGCTGACGGCAGTAGATTAATGGGAAAACATCGGAATGGTTCTTGTCGCTGATTACGCGTGGATCGCTATGTCATAAGCGTGGCTGTGCAGGGGAGCTCGGGGATCGCCGTGAGGGATGCTAGTCATCAATCGACGCGGAGCTGCTAACCAACACCTCTCGCGAGCTCCTGATTGCGAGTAGGACCGCGTGCGATTCAATTCTTCATCAATTTCTCATGAACCTTGACCTATAGCCCTTCCTTCGGCCTTTCCTTTGTTTTTTTCTCCCGTTCTCACCGGGAACCAGGAATTACTTCGGCGAGTTAGTGCCAGCCATCCGCGTACAGCTGCAGTATCGCTAAAGCATAGCTGCCGCCGTCTACCAAGGAAAGCCAACCAGCCAAACAACAGGTTTCCAGAACCCCAACACCTCCCAGCCGCTCGCTCTCTCCTCTACTCTCACCTTCCTGGGGCTCCTCACCCAAGTCACGCCCCTCCCTCGACCGCGAGCATTCAATTGCACGCCAGCCATCTTGCAACTGCAGCGCAACGTCAGCGGGTCGGACCTCCGCTCCACATCGCCGACATGGCTACCGCATCGCGCGAATCCGAGCTGAAGCAGCAAGGCCTGCTCGACGCAGCCAAAGACCCCAATTCCTCTATCACGGCGAACCAGGCGGAGAAATCCCTCGTTGATCAGGCGCAGGCGGGCGGCAGCGCTGCCTTTCAATTCGACCCCGATGCGAGTCCTGAGCAGAAGCGGGCACAGGCACGAGCGCGCGTCCCCGCAAACTTCCACCACGAGCGCAACAAGAACGCGACGGCCCTCGTATCCGATGTCGACGACAACGGCCCGGGCGAATACGACCTCCCCTCGCCTACCAAAGCGGGCGCCATAGAGACACCCGAGGAAGCCAAAGCCAATGGCCACGCGCCCGAGCAACTCGACGACGATGCGCGGTGGGATCGGGTCGGATGGGCGCCGCGATTCGGCATGCCCGGCTCCGAGAACAAGGAGGAGGAAGAAGCCTCCCTGGCCGACCACCAGACATGGCTGGAGGGCAGGATAGAGGACAAGTTCTTCGGCGACTGGTACCACAACACGGGCATCATCATCTTTGCGTGCTTGAGCTCGTGGGTCGTCGGTATCCTCGGCGGTGGACTGGGCTGGATCATGATCTTCATGGCCGTCTGCGGCACCTACTACCGTACCTCGATCCGTCGCGTGCGCCGCAATGCGCGCGACGACCTCAACCGTGAGATGGCAAAGAACAAGCTGGAGACGGACACAGAGAGCTTGGAGTGGATCAACAGCTTCCTCGTCAAGTTCTGGCCCATCTACGCGCCAGTTCTGTGTGACACCATTGTAGGCACCGTGGACCAGGTTCTCTCGACCTCGACCCCGGCGTTTTTGGACAGTCTGAAGATGAAGACTTTCGTCCTCGGAACGAAGCCCCCGCGATTGGAGCACGTAAAGACGTACCCAAAGACACAGGACGATATCGTTCTTATGGACTGGAAGTTTAGCTTCACACCCAACGACGTAGCTGATCTTACCGCGAGGCAGATCAAGAACAAGATTAACCCGAAGATCGTCCTAGAGATCCGCATCGGAAAGGGCCTTGTCAGCAAGGGTCTGGATGTTATCGTAGAAGACATGGCCTTTTCCGGTCTGATGCGCCTGAAGTTCAAGCTACAGCTTCCGTTCCCTCACATCGAGAAAGTCGAGATGTCTTTCCTCGAGCGTCCGACCATCGACTACGTCTGCAAGCCCTTGGGTGGAGAGACCTTTGGTTTCGACATCAACTTCATCCCCGGATTGGAGACTTTCATCATGGAGCAGATCCACGCTAACCTGGGCCCGATGATGTACGACCCCAATGTGTTCCCCATCGAGATCGCCAAGATGCTTGCGGGCAACCCTGTCGACCAAGCTATCGGTGTTCTGCAAGTCCACTTCCACGGTGCTCAAGGCCTCAAGAACCCCGACAAGTTCTCTGGTACCCCTGATCCCTATGCCACAGTCTCCATCAACAACCGCAACGTCCTTGCACGTACCAAGACGGTGCACGAGAGTGCCAATCCTCGCTGGAATGAGACTGTCAACATCATCGTAACTTCCCTGAAGGATTCGCTTACTATCAATCTCTTCGATTACAACGACATTCGCAAGGACAAGGAGCTCGGTACCGCTACCTTTGCGCTAGAACAGCTAGAGGAGGACCCTGACCACGAGAACATGCAACTAGAGGTCATGTCAGGAGGTCGCGCCCGTGGTCTCGTGACAGCGGATGTACGCTTCTTCCCTGTTCTTGAAGGCACTACGCTGGAAGATGGTACCAAGGAGCCTCCACCAGAGTCGCGCACGGGTATCTGCAAGTTCACTGTTGAACAGGCCAAGGATATGGATGGTAGCAAGAGCATGATTGGGCAGCTTAGCCCATACGCCGTCCTCCTCCTTAACGGCCATGAGATTCACAAGTCCCGGGTCATGAAGAGGACAAACCAACCTATCTGGCCAGACGCAACAAAGGAAATGCTCATCACGGACCGCAAGAAGGCTAAGCTGGGTCTAGTCATCAAGGACGACCGCGACCTCGCAGCTGACCCCATTCTTGGTACTTACCAAATCACGATGGACGACATGCTTGAACTCATGGCCAAGGGTCATGAGTGGTACAATCTCGCAGGTACATCGAGCGGTCGCGTGAAGATGAAGCTTGATTGGAAGCCCGTTGCTCTAAAGGGTGCAGTCTCTTCCAGTGGTTATCTTACTCCCATCGGTGTGATGCGACTACACTTCCAGAGCGCGCGCGGACTTCGTAACCTCGAAGCCCTGGGCAAGTCGGATCCGTACGTCCGTGTACTACTCTCCGGTATTGAGAAGGGCCGAACCGTCGTTTTCAAGAACAACCTCGACCCTGACTGGGATGAGGTTGTCTATGTCCCTGTTCACACCGTCCGCGAGAAGCTTACACTGGAGGTCATGGACGAGGAGAATCTCGGCAAGGATCGTCCCCTAGGACATATCGAGCTTTCGGCTGGCGACTATATTCAACAAAACGAGAATGGCGAGTACCTCGAACATGAACAGAAGCAGCCTACCGCAGGAGCTCTCCGGTTGGCTGGTTCTTCTCAGCCCAAGGGCACTCTCAACTACACCTGCTCCTTCTACCCCACATACCCCACTTGGGACCCTGAAGAGGACGAGGAAGAAGAGGAGGAGACTAAATCCAACGGCGCCGCCCGGCCTGTGTCCAACGGATCTAAGCTCAGCCACCAACGTGTTGTATCCAACGCCTCGACCATCGCCAGGTCGGAGACCGCAGGTACTATCTCATCACTCAAGTCGAACGAGAAGGACATGGCCAAGGAGCTTGAGAAGAACGAGCTCCAGCAAGCAGAGTCGGTTCCCGAGAAGCCGAAGATCGAGAAGCTGAAGCTTACTGCAGACGATCTGCAGAAGTATGGTAGGTCGCATGCCGACTATGAGGATACAGTGGAGTTTGGCTTGTTCAGTTGGTTCACCCTGACCTGCAGCTTGACCCTGTATTCTTATATCACATCTACGAGTCTTGGCTAACGTGATGTAGAATCTGGTCTGCTTGTGTTCAAGCTCATTGAAGGTGAATTCGCGAGGACTGGTGGCCACGTCGATGTTATTATGGATGACATGGCGTATGCCAGCTATTCTAGCACGAAGATCCGGAGCAACAAGATGACTTTCAACGATGGTGGGTTGTGTCAAGTCTTTCAAGATGTACCAAGCTAACGGGATGCAGTTGGCGACACGATGATCCGCGAGCTCGACTTTTCCAAGATCACCCTCCGAATTATCGAGCACATCGATAACGACGGCGACGATCATGGAGATCACGTCATTGCTAAGCTGACAGGAAACACGATTGATACGCTACGAAGGTCTCTGCACACGCCTACTCAGTTCACGCTCAAGGACAAGAACGGACGCGATAACAAGATCACGGTCATGCTTAAGTACATTCCCGTCAAGATGCGTCTCGACCCCAGCGAATCCTTCAACAACCAGGGTACCCTCCGAGTCGATGTGCTCGATGCGGCAGATCTTCCAGCTGCGGACCGCAACGGTTTCTCGGATCCTTACTGCAAGTTTATGCTCAACGACAAGGAGGTGTACAAGACCAAGACCCAGAAGAAGACGCTCCACCCGGCATGGAATGAGTACTTCGAAGTACCTGTACGGAGTCGCACGGCCGCGGACTTTGTTGTCAACGTTTACGACTGGGACTTTGGTGACAAGGCCGACTTCCTCGGCAAATCATCTATCAACCTGGAAATCCTCGAACCCTTCCAACAACAAGAAGTTACGCTTGCACTCGACGGCAAGTCAGGCGCTATCCGACTTAGAATGTTGTTCAAGCCAGACTACGTCGTTCGATCTCGTCAAGGCTCCAGTACATTCTCGGGCACGTTTGCTGTTCCCGGGAAAGTCATCGGCGCGCCTGTCAAGGGAGTTGGTAAAGGAGCGGCCTTTGTCGGTGGCAACGTAGTCCGCGCAGGTACCTTCCTAGGTCGTGGTTTCAAGCGCAGAAAGTCTCGCGGTGAAGCCCCTGATGAAGAAGATCTCGCACGCCCCTCCACATCCGACCGTCCCTCCGCCGACACACCCATGATCTCTATCGAAGGCGAGCCCAACACCCCCACAAAGGACTCCAACAACCACAACCGCCACCGCAGCTGGGGCGCCCAAAGCTTCCACAGCCGCTTCGGCGACAACGCCGGCCCCGGTGGCGCCGAACAAGGCACCGCCAACATCACCGTCCTCTCCGCCGACGGCTTCCCTGCCGGCACCAACCTGCGCGTGCACATCTCGCTCGGCAAAAAGGAAATCCACAAGACCGACCACATCAAAGCGCCCCAAGGCTCCGTCCAATTCGACCCTTCGGAAGAGAGCTTCAAGACAAACTGCACTGCCGACGCCTTCTTCAAACTCGTCGTTAAAGATCACAGTAAATTCGGCCGAGACGAGGAGTTGGGCGAAACCCAATTCACCATCTCAGACCAGGGTAGCGGCGCAGAGCAAAACGTTGGTGTGGGCAAGGGTATGGTATCGATACGCAGTAGCTTCACGCCTAGTGAGAGTGGAGGCAGTCCATCCGGCAGCGTGAGTCCGCGACCCAAGACCGCGGAGCGCAGGGGGTTACTCAGGAGGGATCGCAGTACGACGCCTAATCCTGGGGCTTAGAAAGCAAGTGCGCTGGGTAGGTTGGGCCAGTTGAAAGGGAATGGGTCTAGGGTTAGTTTTGCGATGAGTGAGGTGGTTGGGGGAAGGGGCAGGAGGGGCGATACGGATGTTGATGGGGGGAGGGATGCGGAGGGACTGGAGGAGGATAGGATGGGTGGGTTGAGGGAGTGGATTGAGGATGTTGAGAGGGGGAGGCGGAGTTTTGCGCTTTGATGCAAGGTAGGGTGGGATGGGATAGATCTGGGCGGTCTTGCAAAAAGGCAAAGGGCTGCATGGGGTGAGTGAGGTTTTCTTCTTTCCTTTCGACCTAGGTCTTCTCTTCCTTGTCTCTTCCTAGAGTCGGTTCTCTCCTATGATAGCTATTCCTTCTTCTGAGTATAGTTTCGATACCAATATTATCTCATTGCTCTAAGACACTTGGTATTTGTTTCTCTGTGTTTAGTATGCCTGGCATCATTGATGAATTATACGATCCTTGGAAATGGCAGATAGACTCTGGTTTTTTACCCACCCTCTGACATTCTTAGCTAGAGATGACCTTCCGTACGAATATAATGAAGATCATGAATTGTCCTTCACTCGCCCCTCCGCATTATCGCAGTACTAATCTCAAAAGAAGTACACCCTTAATTGCTAGTATTACAGTATCTCGTCATACACAGACTACTTTCTGGAAACGCAATCCAAACTCGCCTGCATCCTTCTCTCACTGCGAAAATTGTCAAAAGTGAAGGACCAATCTCTCAATCTCTCCTTCACCCAACCGAAGATAAGTACCGAGGCAGTGGTTGCAGTAAAGGACTGCGTTTGCTCGGACTTAACGTGGCGCCGACGCAAGCAATTGCGTGATCGTCAAGTGAGCAAAAATGCGCGGTTGACTGCGGGACTGACGGCGAAACAACAAAGTGAAGGAGGCAGTGAGCAAGATAGGTAAACAATGCGGCTACCTGCCAGGTCCTTCACTTGTTTGTACGTATATAATCTCTCGGTACTGTTAGGAGTATACTTCTTTCTTTCTCTCCACACACGACACCTTCGGGACTTGACTGCAATCGAGTATATTTTCCCTTCTTACAATTCAAGTTGATACTCGACTCAATATTCCCTCTACCTTCAACCCTACCTTCTTACTACAATGACGGGCCGAACCCCCCCTGCTGTCTTCAACTCCTCCCCTGCGCCAATCGACCAAGACTGGGTCGACGCTGAACTCATTCCCTTCCTTCAGCGCGTCTACCCAGAGGAACGCAGGACGACAATGGACTGGAACCGCCAGGTCGTTTTCGGAAGGTCGAACCTGCATCTTCTCGTAAGTAACCCGGACGCCAACCTACCCCCATCAGTCGACCCAAGAGCACACATTGTATCCCCACCAAGCCACACAACGGCGGGGAAATACGTGAAGTGCACCTGGGACACCCAACAGCCACGCCGCCATCTCTTGATTACAGACACTGACGCATACACCCCAGGAACACTACGAAGACTTCCCGTTCACAATCGAACGTCTCCGCCTCTGCCTCCTCAACTCGGAACTCTTGACACCGGCGGAAATGTCGAAGTTCATTTCCGTCACCGAGCAAGGCAGCCAGTACTGTCTCCGTATCTTTGTCCGCCACGCCATCGTCCACGGATCGTACATGCTCTTCTCCTTAGGAGACAACCCGAGTCCGGAGTTCCCTCGAGCAGGCCATACTAGTACTAGGCCGTCAACCGCATCTCCGGCTGAAGCTGCCCCAGCGCGCGCGACTTCTGTCGCGGTGCTTGAAGCTAGGAATGCGACACTGGAGAGGGAACTGGCCAACCTTCAGGCTGAGCGTGGTCGTGGAAATGGTCGCGGAAACGGTCGTGGAAGGGGTCGGCCTTCGCAGCCTCGTGGCGACTTCGTTGGACGTTCGGACCGCGGTGGTCGTTTCAGTCAAAGACCAAATGTTTCTCCGAACATGCAACAGACGCCATCTCAGTTCCCTTCAAACCCACCTCCGGGAATGTATGGCTACCCAACTTATCAATATGGGTATGGTGGTGGTCCTTACATGGCTGCGCCGGCTATGGGTGGCTATCCTGGAAACTCTTACCAACAGCAGCCATTCACCAACCCCGGACAGCAGTATGGTGGTGGCTGGACTGGTAGCCAGATGATGTATTCCAGCCACCAAGACTACTCTTCGCAGATGGGAGCAAGCAGCGGTTTCGCAATGCCGCCACAGCAAGTGGGCAACCCATATCATCAAGGACAACCTGCTCAACGTGGTCGCGGATCTTCAGGAAGTCAACAAGGACAAGCGCCATCTCATCAAGGCCTTCCAGCACGTCCTCAGCAACCAGCTTCAGGATCAGGTGCGAGCACTCATGTGCCTCGCCCAGATGCGGAAGAGTTCTATCCAGGTTCGGATACCCACCAAATCAATTCTACAACGCCCATGTCACTAACCACCAGCAGGATCCGGAAATGGCTACAACTGATTCGGGACGGCTGATTGGGAGTGAGACGAGTTTTTCCGGCAAGTGAGATTTCGGTGAGACCGACCAGAGGAGAGATAAGGGCAAAAGTTTTGGGGAAATGGTGTTCGGCAGCTGGGAGTAATTCGCCTCAGTGGATGTCACCACCTCCATCCTCTCGGGAGTAGATACCCATAGACGTGAAATCAAAAGAAGTTCGTTGGTGCGGTGATCACTCCGCCACGCCTTCCGCCAGTTTTCCGCTAGCAGGTCCGTGCTTGATTGATAGCGTGAGGTTTATCTGAACACCAATAATACCCGCCGCTTCATCACCAACCTCTCCAACTTTCCAACGCCCCGTCGCAACCACGCCCCATCAGCCATCATCTCGCGCGTGATCCATTACAGAAGGAGGTAACCGTGATGAAACGCTTATACTGATAACCCTACGTCCAAGGCCTTGGCTACCATCCGGGCGGAGATCCTAGATCCATTCAGGCGCGTCGCAATCGTGACTAGGGCCAGAAGGGGAGGTGACAAGACCAAGAGATGGATACTGGCTTGGCGCGTCCTGCGCGCCCGCATGGGAAGCTTCCCTGAGCGTTATCTTTTCCTGCTTAGCCCAGCTTGGCACGTCTTTTTCGAACGTTCCGCCGCGCCCATGGAGCAAGGCTGGTTGCTCGTATTGGCGCCCGGGTTTTTTGCTCATTCCTATCTTATCCTGATCCTGGGGCTACCACGGCCTTGGATGCCTCTAACCAACGCGCTTAAGTGCGGCAGTATGCCTGAAGGTCTGGTTTGTATGATCCTCCGACCGGACTAGGCGCCGTTCCATGGTCTTGGATGGCTGTTATGTGCATGTTGCTGTGATAACGCGGGAACCGAGCGAACGAAATGCCATGGCGAGAGTGGACACGCTCGATAGTCGCGTGCGACCCTTGTGCAACTCTTGTCCAGAGCTTCGGTCTTGGAGTTTGCTTGGGTGTATATGAAGAGGGGCATGGTACACCTGTCTGGACCGCAGGCACTCAAGTTCATCGCCCGTTGCGTCTACTTGATTCCACCGCCCGCGCATTCAATTTCGCGGTCGTACCTTGTTACCTTTGTTCTACCTGAACTTAGTTCAAGTTCCCTTCAGCACAATGGCGGCCAACACCAACGTCAAGGCGTCTCTTGAGATCACCAAGGGCGCCACTGCTATGGACCCTATCCCGCTCGACACCAGCTCCACTGGCTCTTTTGACGAGAACACCAACCTCTTGGGTCCATTCCCTACTGAAGAGGAATGGGCGACTCTTCCCAGGGTTGCTGGTCGCATTCCGTGGCAAGCATGGACTGTGGCTGCTGTTGAGTTCGTTGAGCGCTTCAGTTACTACGGTACCAGCGCTGTCTTCGTCAGTGAGTTGATTGATAGCCCGTATATCTGGGCACACACTGACTTTTACCAGACTTCATCCAAAAGCCATTGCCTCCTGGTTCCACAACTGGTGCTGGTTTCTTGAAGAAGGGCGTCAGTTCCGGTGCTCTGGACATGGGCCAACGTGCCTCCACCGGTCTCACCATGTTTAACCAGTTCTGGTCTTACATCACGCCTCTCGGTGGTGCCTGGCTCGCTGACGAGTACTGGGGACGTTACAAAACCATCCAGTACTCTAACCTTATCGCTCTTATCGGCCACATTATTCTGATCATGTCTGCTATCCCCGCAGTTATCGTCAAGCCTAATGTCGCCATCGGTGTCTTCGCTGTCGGTCTCGTCGTTATGGGTTTCGGAACTGGTGGTTTCAAGAGTAACATCTCTCCACTCATCGCCGAACAATACAAGGATCAAAAGGCCTACGTCCGTGTCAGGAAGAATGGACAGAAGGAGATTGTCGACCCCGCCACTACCACTGCGCGTATCTACATCTACTTTTACTTCCTGATCAACTGCGGATCTATCTGCGGTTCCATCGCCATGGTTTACTCAGAGGTATGTGCCGAATCAGACTGCATTGTGTGATCTCACTAACGCCATCCAGCATTTCGTCGGTTTCTGGCTCTCTTACACGCTACCCACTATCTGCTACCTCCTCTGCCCCATCATTCTCATCACGATGAAGAAGCACTACAAGCTTTCGCCACCCACTGGATCCGTCATGGGCAAGGCTTTCAAGCTCATCGGCCTCGGTATCAAGAACTCGCCCCGCAAGAACACTTTCAAGGACGATGGCTTCTGGGACAGGGTCAAGCCTACTGCTCTCCGTGCCAGCGGCCAGGCTGTCCCTGACTGGATGACCTTTGACGATGCCTGGGTCGACGAAGTCAAGCGCGGTATCCTCGCTTGCAAGGTCTTCTTGTGGTACCCTCTCTACTGGCTCGCGTACAACCAAATGACCAACAACCTCGTCTCCCAAGCCAACACCATGAACCTCGGAAAGACACCCAACGACATTGTCTCGAAGCTGAACCCCATCTTCATCGTCATCCTTATCCCGATCATGGACTTCTTCGTCTACCCCGCTCTCCGCAAGGCTGGTGTCAACCTCTCGCCCATCAAGAAGATCACTGCTGGTTTCGCTCTTTCCTCATTCGCCATGGTGTCAGCCTGCGTCATCCAATACTACATCTACAAGATGTCACCCTGTGGCAGCAACATCAACGCCCTCAGCAAGGAACGCAAAGACTGCAACGCCGACATCTCCGTCTGGGTCCAAGCCTTCCCCTACGGTCTGATCGGTATGTCCGAGATTCTCGCTTCCATCACCAAGCTCGAGTACGCGTACACCAAGGCACCCAACAACATGAAGTCCACCATCCAGGCCGTTGCCCTCTCCACCTCCGCTGTCTCCGCCGCTCTCGGTCAGGCCTTTGTCAGTCTGTCTGAGGACCCTCTCCTCGTATGGAACTATGGTTCCGTTGCTGTTGTTGCCATGTTCGGTGGTATTGGTTTCTACCTCACTTTCCGCAAGGCAGATGCTCAGGAAGATGCTATGAACAATATGAAGGAGAGCAAGTACGTGGGCGGCCGTGAGGTCGGCGATGCTGAGAATGTTGAGACTCTTAGTGTTAGGGACGAGAAGAACGAGAAGAGTGGGTTGTAGATATCAAAAGCTTGGTAATAGTCTTATGATAGTAATGATTCGAATGTTATTCCAATATTCATCTTCTAGTCTTCCATGTATATCCGTACAGTCGTCCCATTCTAATACACGAAGTCATCCCATTCAATGCCCGCCCAGCTTTAAGCCATCTCAAGTCGTCTTAGTAATAAGTATTATGTCGTTTATACCGCTATATCGCCATCCGGAGAACTACTCAAGGTTAGCCAGGCTGCATCAAAAGTGTTCGAACCAGCTAAGTATAGAGTAGCCAGAAGGTTCTCGAAGCTTTTGTAGCCCTCCAAAGCAGTGCTATACGGCAGCCAGGAAGTCACAAAGGTCTTCGAAAACCTCAACCGACACGCCATATCCTAGCCAGGAGATGTACAACTTACTCAATAGTAAACCCCACCACCACTCGGACCTCCACGGCCAAACCCACCCCTATCCCCAATACTACCAAACGGGTTACCCTTACCCGGAGGCGATCCTGACGGCTTCCCTGGCGTCATTTTGCCCTTACCTTTCCCTCCAGGCGAGCCCACCTCGCCCTCACCCGGCGGCGGCGGACCAAAGGCCGGGAACATGATATGTGGATAGTTATCAGGGTGGACTCCAGCGGCCCTAGCAGCAGCGATCGCGGCCTCGTGCTGCTGCATGGCCTGGAGTGCTGCCGCCGTTGGAGGTAACATCAAACCGCCGTAGCGCTGGTAGTGACGGTAAAGAAGGATGTCGACGAGAGAGCGGTTTGCGCGGATCCAGTCCATGGAGGGATGGCCGAGGTCGGGATTCGCGATGCGGAGGACGAGTTCGTGGACGAGGGAGGGGTTGCGGTCGAAGTCATCCTGTGGGGTGGTGTTAGTATGTGGGTTTGCTAGGGGTGTGGGTGCGGGTGGAGAGAAAGTAGAGGAGTGCTTACGATGGTCTCGCTCAGATAGATGGCGTTGTTCATGTCCGGATCGTAGTTGTAGTTGGGACGAACGGCACCTCGGGCATCGGTGACTGCGTAGGCCCAGCGCATGAAGGGGCTTACGGAACTGCCGTTCCAGCGTTGGAGGGGGTTTGGCTCTTCTTCCCGGAGATGGTGGACTGTTGGTGGAGCGCGGTGGTTGGGCATAGAGGGCTGCTGAGCTTGAGGCGGAGATAGGGGCTCAATTCCAGTGCGGGATTGAATGCGACCATGGCGAGGAGTGTTGTAAGGGCTACCAGATGAGGAAGCGCCGCCGCGCCTGGAAGGCTGGTTTCCTGAGGGACTTGACATCTTGTTGATGTTGGAATTGAACTTGGTAAGTTAAGGTTGGAAAGGATATATAGAAGTCGGTTCGAATTGAAGGAAGCGAATAAGATATAGTAGAGTGTGGATATTGCCGAAGTTGCCTCAATGTCTATGTTGAGAAGAAGAGAAGAGGAGGGAAGGCACGGAGGGAGACGACTTTATATCTCTGTGGGTGGAGCTAATCTCGAGGTGAGAGACGCTTGCTTTCCACCGTGACTTCGTGTTTGGTGAGAGAAGATGAGGGGAGAGTGTACTTGTGACGTCTTTGACGCGGTTTGCGTTTGCCTTTGGTCATGTAGATGGAGATCCGCGTTTGTCTTGGTAGCGATGTCGCTCAAGGTAAAACGCGTCATTGTATACTCGGTTAGCACCCTCCTTCACTCTTGTTCTTGGATTGATGGTTCTCGAATCGGATGGAAAAAGCTGCGTAGTGAATATAGTGGCAAGACTGTTGCGCCTAGTAGGCCACAGCTCCTGCTCAGACTCCTTTCCTGTATATAGAAGCCCCTGATCATCTCGATATACACTCTACCCCAATTGTCGCTCAACCTTCCTCCACGAGCAACTCAACGTCGAAAGTCTCCAATATGTTCTCCTTCATTTCTTGTTTGACTCCCATGATCATCTTCATTTTTTCCCTGGCTGTCGTATCTCTTAGAGATAAGAGTCTGTTCAAGCTAGTCAAGCCATGGTGGCAACCGAAGAAAACACCTC